ATTGTCAGTATGACCTGATGATTATATAAATTTACCAAAAAATTTACTACTTGGACAATAAGACTCAAAGATCGTTTACTTTATAAACAACAGTTTGGCGTCATGACGTTCAAATATTTTTTATTTAATTACGCAGCTTTAAAGCCAATATTGAATATAATAAATACCTAACTAGTCCTTCGTTGTACACAAAAATCCTAAGCGGATCACAAGACGTTATAAGGGTGTACACTCTTATGTCGAATTTGTATCCGTCCACTAAATATGGTTTAGCTAAATATACCTGTAAAATATATTAATATCTTTCCATTTTAAAAGAAAAATTCTTTCGAAAACTAAAATTTCTTTAATGGCACATAATAAATGCAGCTTTGATAAAGTCTTCCGCAAGAGATTCTTTTTTTTCTTTTTGCAGAACTGCACAGACGTTTGCCACAATCCTACCTGATGTTAAGTGAGGTGTGGCCTATTGGATGTGACCTACGCCCGTCCAGGAAATGCCATAATAAAAATGTCATAACTATAATCTCAAAACTTAAAGAAAGACACTCGTGTATAATAGTTTTTTTATCATGAGAGCATTTCAAAAACTTTGATACCAAACTGAAAAAATAATTGTAAAATAAAAATATTTTCTGAAATTTAATCAAATTTATACCTGACAGATAAGTTTATCAGTGGGTTTTATTTCTTTCAGAGATTTCGTGAGATAAATACCGCGGCCTTGACTGCCGCATTCTGGTTTTATAATGAATGTTTTATTTTTCCTCGATTTACTGTAATTTAGAGCTTCGCCAAAACTGAAATCGAATTGTAAAACTATTTCTTCGGGTTTTTTGAAAACAGTAAATACAAAGTGGCGTATTTCTAAAGAAAAAACTTTTTCTTTAGAACTTTATGTTAAATAATTGTAAATTTATAATATTACATAACTTTAATCCGGTTAAAAAGTTTTTTTCTTTAAAGGCGTATTTCTACGTTTTTTATATATAACAAAAAGGTAATATTTAGGCAAACACAACGCAAGTGCGTTGTAGGCCCTTAACCTGTCTTGTATTAACAAAATCCATTAAGTTTGATTGAGCGATTTCAAAGAGATGATTAGATATGAACCTTTTTAAAATATTTTTATTAAAGATAATACACTTTTTCTAGTCTGAAGATTTTAACTAAACCCACGATTTTGTATGTAAATTAAAGTAGTCGCCGCTCTAAAAAATGTTTTTTTTTAATAATTTTAGCTACTTCCTCGATTGAATAAAATATTATTATTAATACTAACTCTGCCGGTAGGCACCACGTCTTGGGGAAAAAACTATATTCCTTAGGATATATTTTTTGCATTCGATTTAAGTTGCGAGCTAATAAATCTTTCCTGCAACAAATTAAAAATATTTTATAATATTTTCTCTTTCAGATGCAAAGCTTTTTATGTAGAATTTTTTTAAGACTTTTGCGGTGGGTGGTGACCAACCCAAGTGTTCTCCAATAACTTGGATTCTTTGTAACTACGAGATATGTGCGAAGGCGCAGGCCAAGTTTGTTTGCGGTACCAAAGGCCAGAACCAGTCTGTTGCACAGATCCCCGTTGACAAAGACGTTGCGTTTACTGATTGCTGTCTCCGACACTGTGACTTCACAGTAGCATTTTTGTGTCTTATATAATTATTATATTTATGTTTTTTTTTCTCTACATTATCGTATTGGTTTAGTACTGTACGGATAGTGTATGTATTTTTGTGAATAAATAAATGATAATACATAACCTTTAGCTTACAAACATGTAATTGTATTATTGTTTCTTGTTTTCAAATTGAGATAGGTAATATGTACGCATTTGATTTTGATGGTTCGATAATTAAGTATTAGCTGGATTACGCGTTGTGGGGAAATGTACAAACAGCTAGTGAAAAAAACCTTCTACACATCTAATAACCAATTTAGTCCTCAGGAACTATACCTGCATATCTCCAACATTCCAGGAAAATGATTAATTCGTTGAAATCTCTTCATCTCCTTGGCTCTTTCAACAGAGACACTCATATCAGTCCAATAAAAGTTCCAGGCGTCCTCTTCAGATACCTCTCTCATACCAAAAGCACTTGCAACTTTACGAATCGACTCATATCGACAATTTGTTAGGCATATTGTTATTTGCGATCTTAAATAAATATATAATTTAAACCCATAATCTATTTGATATTACATATCTATTTAAAATAATGACTTGGTAGGGAAATACTGTAACCCCTTAAAATGGACGTAGGATCGACATATCTAATCCATTTAATTTTTGAATAGCGAAGTAAGTCTAAACTTGTAACTTTTCTAACAAGTAGGCTTCCGGTACCTTACGATCTCAAAATAGATATTGCGTCGGTGGGAATCGAACCCACTTAGGCGTAAAAGATCCTGGATTTTTAAATAGTATATACGCTTGTATTTTTAGTTATAAAATTAACCTTTTTCTTTTCTTCTTTTTCCGCGTTGCTTCCATAGGTATAATAGGTGCAGTCCTAGAAGTGGGTTGTGATGTGTCGTCTTCTCCATACAATTTATTATCATAATTACGTAGTAATATTGATGTTAGATTCTCCATTTGATCATCTTTTACTGTTTCTATAACTTTCTCATCTGTAGGGAAAATGTGTGTAAAAAAAGCTATATTGAACGACCATTTTACAGATAAGAGCAATGAAAATTTATAAATCTAATTATGATTTAATACCTTGGCCTTTCTCAGTTTTTCTTTTAATATATTTTGACGTTTGAGGTATCTGATCTTCATCATTCAGGAGAGATTCTTGTAACTCCAACTATGATAATATTTATAGTAAGCTTAGTTAAATATAGAGAATTTTAAGAATTAAATTTTCAATTAACATTTACCTCCATTTATGTAAATAAAAATAAGTAAAAGTAAAAATGAAGTCACAATATGTCACAGTTTAATCTGAGCATATTTAAGTCTGCCTTAAAAAAATAAAAAACTAAAGATAGGCCTAAATCACAACCCGACCTGAAAGAGAAATATATTATGGCATGATTGAAATATTGAAAATCAATTCTATTAAATAAAAATACTAACAAACTCTGCTAAATCAAATTTCGATAATTTTTTGTGGACATTGTCGGACACTGTTTTTTGTTTTTGTGACTTGTCAATTTATTAATCAAATACATGACATGAGAAAGAATTATTAATAAAATCAAATCAAATCATACTCTGACTATCCATAATAATATTTTTTAAATCTTTTGTTCATTCCCTTCATAGCTAAATTAAAAATATCGCTGAAAAATATGAAATTAATCATCTATAAATCTTATATTGTTAAATGTTATTTCACATTTTTTATATAATGTTGATTTAATAAGTTTCATAATGCAAATCAATCAAAAAGTCAGTCAACTCAAAAACAAAGCACACAAATAATCATTATAAAAATTGCCCGCCAATTTATTTGAGATATAGATAGAGTCCGCGCCACCACTGATTGCCGATAGAGTATAGACGCGGCGCTAGCGAGTAGCGCGGCGTAGTAATATGTTGCTAGCCCTAGGTGCAAGGCTAATTTACCCCAACGTAGGGATGTGACATTCTGCATAATAAATCGATTTTTTATTAATCGATTTTTCCTAATTTTTTAATTAATTTCAAAATAAACACCCTAAATATTTTATTTTTCACGGTTTTTTTAATTAAAAATAAACAATAGAAATTATAAACACAAATTAACGTTTAAGAATAATCAAAATCGAAATTAACTTAATCTCGTTTTGATAGATTTTAGGTGAAATTTGATAAATGCTGAGTGTATGCCTTTTCAGTAACACATTGCAGTATTTTTGTTGTCTTTTTAATTGTATGTAGTCTTGTGCTGCTGAATAAATTTATTTTACTTTTAAATTACAGAGTTCCATTCAAACTTGAGTTTTTGTAAAATTAACTGGTTTTATCATCCTTTCGATGTTTTACAAAAAAACATCAATGCATCGAGTATATCAATACATCTTCAAAGAATCGGATTCAATGTATCGCATTGTTAACATCGTTGTATATCGAATATCCCTAATAGTTCGAGGTCCGGGTTATAAAAGACCAGACATAATGTCGGGAGGTGGCAGATAAAAAATCGTCTATGATTGATTTTCAATTATAAAAATAATCGATTATTTTAAAAATAAAAATCGCGTAAAAATATCGATTTTTACTTTTAATAAAAATCTATTAAAATCGATTTTTTTTCACATCCCTACCCCAACGTAACATAAATTAATATGAAATTCGCGAACTAGTCTTCAAGATTTGCTTCTAATGTTTTACCTTAACACGAATAAAGTAATATTTCACTGTAACGACAAATTTAGTTCCAGGGTTCCCGTCGGCAATGAGTAGTGGCGCGGACTATATAACTTTTTAATCTACTAAATTACCCACGTTTTCTTGGTAATCGACCACAGATGTCGAAAGAAGATATTTTCGTCATTCACTATAACATCTCACATTTCAATCGTAAAGTACATGGCCTTGTATAATATTATATAAACGTTTAAATGGTTAATGTATAAACATGTAGATTTTATTATTTTCAATACGTCGTCAAAATGATCAAAAAAATTGTATTTTATGCTATCAATGACTTGGAATTTGGTACAATTTTGGGGGGGATGTCGCTATAATACAGATTACAGATGTCTGGTCACTGGTGATTAATTATCACAGCTCATGCTGCTAACAATAAACAAGCCCGATTATAGTTGCTCTCGCGTCTGACTTTGCCCTTTGGTCTGGTTCTGAATTTAAAAAATTTGTTCCCCGAAATTCACAACACTTAAGTTTTGTTTTTGAACGCATCTTTATTATGACAAGTTTGCTGGTGGTCGATGATAAAGTGATAAAATGTGATCTGTCATCTGTGGTCGCGCACTAGTCAAATTCTTGTGCTATACAAATTTTGCTGTTCCGCCAAAGTACAGAGTCATCTAGATTTGATAAAATGGCAGAAGGCCAAGAAGAACCAAAAAAGATTACAATCACAGTAAAAACTCCAAAGGAAAAACAACAAGTAGATGTCGAGGAAGATGCGGATATTAAAAAAGTAAGAACACCGTCTCGAAACCTCGCTTTCATGGCGTAATAACATAGATATTGCATACGCAATCACTGATGACATTTATTTAATCGTTCGGCAACTTTAATAAAATAATTTGGACTACATTTTAGCTCAAGGAAGTATTGTCACCCAAATTCAATGCTGAACCAGAGCAACTCTGTCTCATATTCGCTGGTAAAATAATGAATGATGGCGATACCTTGAAACAACATAACATCAAGGATGGGCTAACTGTGCATCTCGTGATAAAAACTCCACCGAGACCAGAGCCTGAAGGCGGTACCCGTCGCCCCCCAGGTTGGTTTTTTATATTATATCCAGACTGTTTAAATAAGTAAAACAATTTGATATATTAGGTATGTTGTAAAAAGTAAGTAATTCTTTATAAGATTTTCTTATATCAAAGTTTTTTATTTTAGCGGATGTAAGTGCTACTCCATTTGGTCTGAACTCTTTGGGTGGTCTTGCTGGATTGGAAAGCCTGGGTCTTGGTCAGAGCACTTTTATGGACATGCAGGTAAATTATTAACCACCAAAGTGATAGATATAACATAATCAATATTTGCTGTTTACAATCCTATACAGATATTTCATAAAATTATTTTTTTACAGTCTCGGATGCAGCAAGAGTTATTATCAAACCCTGAAATGTTGAGGCATGTTTTAGATAATCCATTGGTTCAGCAAATGATGAATGATCCTGAAAATATGAGGACTCTTATTACATCTAATCCTCAAATGCAGGATCTTATGGCAGTAAGTAAACAATAATATTCTATAATAATAATATGTTTTTAACTTATTATATTCATATGTTTTGTAGCGAAATCCAGAGATAAGTCATATGTTGAATAATCCTGACCTTCTTCGACAAACTATGGAGTTGGCACGTAATCCAGCTATGCTTCAGGAGTTAATGAGGTCTCATGATAGGGCACTGTCTAATCTTGAAAGCATACCAGGTAATAATTCTTTACTCTTTATTATTTAGCAATAAAAGCAGATCTGTTTATCTAAAACCTTGGGTATGTGGAAGAAGAGCTGCTTGAAAAGATTCTGATTCTGCCTGCAAAATTTCTGCATATGTTTTATATTTGGTCTTAGGAAATATGACCATGTGCCAAAATTCCACAGGCAGCTCTGGTGGCTATCTATTTGACTCAGACGTGATGCTCATCTCCTTTAACTTCTATACTCAATTCTTTTAAATCCCAAAACTCCCTCTTACCTAAAAAATGAATTCAAATTCTCAGGTCCTTATAACTATATGTTACGCTGCTCTTATAGATGCTTTTTGGAAATTCTGTCTCACAGCTCATCCTTCTTAGGCAATTTGTTTAGGATCTATTATGTTGTGGATGAGGCTGCCCGACTCCATACGATTGGCTTATAATATTTGGTTATGAACCTCTTGCACTTTACCCATTGTATTTCTTTTTTTAGTTTTTTTCCTTTCTAGGGTTGCCTGGAAGAGATTGCTTGATAGCGATAAGGCCCCCCTTGCATCCCTAATAATTTTAATGTATTATGCAATTTGTTTTTCTATAACTGCAATGAAGTGTAAATAAAAAAATGTAATAACCATAATTATTTTGATCATTATAATCTTATAACAGTCCAATAGGAAATTGGTGCAGACGCATAGGTCCCTTGGTTCAAACTATCATTAATCATAAGCAAATAGGAGATTAGCCCTCTGTGTGTGCACATTTGAAATAATTGGGCAAAAACATACCATTGTAATTGTAGATACTGAGTAGTAAATTTTCACTAACTTTTGTATAGTATCATTTGTTTTTTGTTTAATTTAGTTAATATACATTTTAATTGTTAATATAAAATGTCCAATGTTTTTTCTTTTAGGTGGTTATAATGCATTACAAAGGATGTATCGTGATATACAAGAGCCTATGTTAAATGTTGCCAGCAGCATGGCGGGAAATCCATTCTCGGGGCTAGTTGATAACTCAGGTATGAAATAATTTTAATATTACTTTACAGTTTCTTTTTACTTTTACATTGTAAAACATATATTTCTTACAGTCTTCTTTAACTATTAATTTCATACTCCTACGGCTAACCTAAATTATATATAACATATACATATACAAAAATATAGCCAAAAATATATATTATACACAATATATACAAAAATGTTAAAGTAAACTTAGGAAAGAAAGACAATCATTTTATATCTCTTAATTATTAAAAGCTTTAGAAATTTGAAATAAGCAACATACATTTAATATCTTCAGATGGTACCAACCCTCAACAAGGAGCAGAAAATCGTCAACCACTACCCAACCCTTGGCAGCGTGGAGGGGGAGCAGCTAGCACAGGGACTACAGGGGCAGGTGCAGCCACAGGCACTGGACCTGGTCTAATCAACACTCCTGGAATGCAGTCCTTACTGCAGCAAATGTCGGAGAACCCTCGCTTAATGCAATCCATGTTGTCTGCACCATATACTAATAGTATGCTGCAAGCTCTTGCTGCTGACCCAGAAATGGCTTCACAACTTATTAATCAGGTATTTTTAGATATAGACATCCACGTCACAATATAAATAAATAACCCCATAACATAACAAATTAATTTAAAAAATATGTATTTGAAAAATTAACCATATTTTTTTAAATCACGATGGCAAATTCATATTAGGTAATAGTAGTATTATACAATAGTAGGGATAAAACACTAAACATATTGATAAGATCTGTCCATAAGTTTTCTTTTTTAGTTTTGGTATTAACACCAATAACAATACTTTCAGAATCCAATGTTCGCCAATAATCCACAACTTCAGGAACAAATTCGCACGATGATGCCTCAAATGCTGACACAACTGCAAAACCCAGAAATGCAACAAATGATGTCTAACCCACAGGTAACTAAAAATAAAAAATAATTATTTGTCTCAAGACTTCTATAAATAACAAGCACATACACGATTAAAATTGTTTTAAGTGAAATAATAGTATTTTAATTGCATTACATGTTACACATGTTTGAATCAGATATTAACTTGCACCGGTACTAATTTCCAATAGCGATTGCGATTCTAAACTACAAAGAGCTGTAACATGTAATATTAAGTTTGCTAGATCAGAACTTCGATAATTATGACGTCATTGAATAAATAAGTTCATTGTAACGGAACAGAATCCGATCGCACAAAACGAGTGCTGGAAATATATTTAAATAAAATTAGTGTCTCGTAGCCAAAAGATATATAATCGAAGAATTTTAAACAAATCGAAAATCCTTAGAAATATTGAAATACCAAAAAAATGAGCATTTTTAAAATTTTGCAGGCCTTAGGCGCTTTGCTGCAAATCCAGCAGGGTATGGAGCAGCTACGTGCGGCTGCTCCAAGTTTAGTGAATAACTTGGGCTTTGGCGCCGCTGCTGCTACAGCTCAGCCACCCGCTACGCCTGCGCCTCCTACAAATAACCCAGCTCAAGGTCGCCAGCAGCAGAACAGTGAGCTATTTACCCAGGTTAGTTATATTTTAAAGTTCAAAAATTAGAAATACAAGAGTTTGTAATAGTAAAAAAAAATCAACCCCAAATCCTATATTTATCCATTTTCTATACATTTATACTTTGGACAAACCACTCCAAAAGATCTTTATCTTATAAATGATTATTTTGACGGTAAATTATGTCCGAGTAAAAGATCTGTGTCTACAATTTTAAAATTATTACAGAATGTAATAAGTAATATTTTGCTGCAATAATTTTTCAATTTGAGTTATTGTGTAATATTAAAAATTATGGCTTTAGTTTATGCAACGGATGATGTCATCGATGTCCAACGATCAGAATAGTTCCCAGCAGCCGCCTGAACAGCGGTACTCACAGCAATTGGAACAACTTGCCGCTATGGGATTTCTCAACCGGGACGCGAACTTGCAAGGTATATTTCAAAAACTAAGTCTAAGTATCCCAGTTAGATGGAGATAGAAATCCGCATCAGTTTCACCTTTTTAACTGGCAATGAGCCTTTAGTGAGTAAACAAATTAAGTTATTGTTATAAATAATTTAATGTTTGGTATTATGCTAAAAAATCGGGGTTTTAATATTTACATAATTATATTGCAGCATTGATCGCAACATTTGGCGACGTGAATGCGGCTGTGGAGAGGCTGCTGGCGCTTGGTCAGCTCTCTATGAGCTAACATACTCGTGCATAGATTTGACAGAATTACACCATAGTCTTGATACATAACATTACAATACATTATGTCCTGTAATTATAACTATCGAGGCCATAGTGTACCCAATGGCTAATTGAGTTTAAATAATATATACTATCGAAATAGTTGATAAATTTTTACTGTCGCAATCCATTCCTTTTCGTTTTAGTTATTAGCTGTGACATTTTGGACTTGATGGTCAATTCATTTTTTTTTTTAAATTTATAATAGTCTTAAATCATAAGGCGCGTAATTTTTACAATTGCATAGTACTATGATATGTGTGGCCACATTCTGAAAGATACAAGTAATGTTTCCATCCATAAAGTTAACTGTATACGGCATAGATAGCACTATAACTAACAAAGATTTGCAGATTTTAATAAAAAAATTGCCTATATTTAAGAAAAAAAAAATATTATTTTAATTACAGGCATGAATGGTTTAAGATTATTATATAGAAATACCACATTGTATTTGTGAACGGCGAATGTAAATAGCTTGCTTTGGGTGAGAAATAGAAAATTATGCATGCAATAATTACATTTAAAGATGAATTGTGCTATTGCTTATGTACAGTCTTTGATGTAAAGTTTGCTTAACAATATTCAATCTTTGTTACATAATGTACATGTTTAGTGTGGTCCTCACATTGAATTTAATTATTTCACAAATTTGTAATTGCTTGGTTATATGAACACTGAACTTTTTTTATAATGTTTTTAGGAAATGGTGGAGTGGGACCATAGACATAGAGAATGGATTATTCAAAACACAATAACACAACTGTAATCTTGTAATAAAACAACAATTCTCTTGTTTTTCTTTGTCAGATGCATAGTGAACACCAAATGCTCATTCTATTTATTCCCTATGTCTATGTCATACTTAAGTTAAAGACTTTTTTTGTCTTATGGTGGTAGAGTTTAATTCAGCTGTGTGCTCTAATTTATAGGATTCTAGTAAATTCTATTTAATTATGATACTTCTTTAAACTAGAACATACTGTTACCTAGTTATTTCGTTTTTGGATTTTGTTAAGTTGCCTAAAATTCTATGAAATAATCATAAGAATACTAACATAGTATTGACAATGCCTATTTAAAAAACATAATTGTTTGTTATTGTATTCATAAATTTAATGTAATATCCTCCATTATATTTTCCTACTGGTAATGTGTCAGTTAAAGATATGCAATTTGTAAAAGCCTATGTTGTATTGGGATTTGCATTGTAAAAATAAAACATATAATAACTTTGCTTCTATTATTATTATTTAAGTTTTGTTGGGAACATATTTTAAAGTATTTCTAGTGAACGATGTGTAATTATTTGTGACGGAATACAATTACAATAGAGATATTAAAATTGCTATTTTATTTGTCTAATATAAGCAATTTGTACTAGTTAGGCTATGGTTAAGCATCTGTTCCTATATAAATAACATTTGTAGCCTGCTGTGCCATATTAAACTCCATTTTTTGGCATTATTATCAAAGACTAATAATCCTGTGCCTTTGCAATCTTATTTGGGTGTTTTGCCTCAGCTTGCATCTGTTCCTTGATAATTTTTAAAAAGACAAGATCGGCCGATCTCCAGAAACATGTCGATTTATAGAACTAAAATATGCTGGTTTCCTCACGATGTTGTCGTAATTAAAGCATATTGTGACTACGCACAAAAAAATAAGGAAAGTTTAACAGTCGTAACTGAGACACATCTTGACCTCAGCGTCGAAAGTCGTACGTATAAGCTACTACACTGCTCTGGGTATTTTACATTACACATTTATTTTCGTTTTTAATTTTACCAATACATTTAATACAGAAACAGCTAGGTATTTTTTTTACGGGGCACTGGGGGTTAAGTCAAGAATCAAGTAGTGTATGAAATGTAGAAAGTCGAAATTCGAAAACTAAATTTGTCGACACGAACTGTCATTTTGTCATCAAATTCACTTCACTTCACTTTATTTATAATGGCGACATCTGTAAATCACAATTCCGCCAATGTCACGTTCTAAGTCTTCACACAGTGAGGATAGATTTGATAATTTTGATAGATTGAATTTTATCTTAGCAGAGTTACCCAAAACAAAAATGACATCACAATAAATACAACACACACAGACATCTAATAATATATACAAGAGGTTAACATTTTACTACAAGGTATGGAGGGGAGAATCTTATTTATAACTTTAATTTATTAACAGAAATAAATTTTCCTAAAATTTTGACGATCGAGCTGGATGGGAGGGAAAGTAGGGAGTTAAGGTTACATGGACGAGGGAAATCTGGAGAAATATGGTCAAATAACGAGTCATTAATTAAAGAATAGTTAAAAAATATATGGTCTGTCGAGCCCTCGTCCATACCACACTCACAGAGAGAACTGTCTTTAATTTTGGCTAGATGAACGGGAGTACAAGCGTGCCCTATACGAAGACGGCAGAATATAGACGTGACCTTTTTGTTTAAAAACTTATATTTAAAAAACCACGGTGAAGAAGGGATTGAAAACTGAATATTAGCATAGTGCCTGCCAGTTTTTACTTTAGAAGATTGCCAATCAATAGTCCAGGATTTTAAAAGGTGGGAGTACGCAAGAGCTGATAGGTCGTGGGCCGAGATGTTGGGATGCTGACAAGATCCGCAGAAAATAGCACCTTTTGCACAAGAGTCAGCAGTTTCATTACCCGCTATACCACAATGACTAGGTATCCACAAAAGTACAATATGAATATCTTTTTTACTACACCTAAACAAAGCTTCTCTTATTTTTAGAATCGTATTATGTTTTTTTTAGACCTGAATGGATTGGAAAGAATTGCCTGTAAACAGCTGCGAGAATCGGAAAAAATTGTAACTTTATTTAGGTTGTGGGACTCAGCATACAAAACCGCTTCTAGGATTGCAAAAGCTTCACCTGAAAAAACGGAGGTCAATGGAGGAAGTTAAAAGCTCAATACTGTTTTGAATGAAGGGACCCATACAGCCGCACCGATGCACTCATTATTGGGAATCTTGGAAGCATCAGTATACATCGGTAACCAACCCTGCCAGTCTTTTGAAATTTTTTCCAGAAAACAAGTGGAAGCTTGGGTGGATTTTTTTTCAATTCCAAAGTTTAAAATTATTTTAGGATCAAAAATGAGGGATTCATAACTATTTAAAAACAAGGGGTTACTAGGGAAACTTTCAACAGGATTAGGAAGACGAGAAAGTTTATTAAAACTGTGTAACAGGCATGGAACATTACCTGTACTAGATGGCATCGTGAGATTAGATAAGCGACGTAATTTGGACAAGACGGAATGTGAAGAGTATTGAAGGACTTTGATGAAGAAGCGGTCACTTAAAAGTTGTCTACGTAAATACAGGGGGGGTCAACACATTCTATTTGGAGAGCATTGATGGGAGAGGATTTCATAGCACCAAGGATGATGCGTAAAGATTTAGATTGAATTTTGGAAATTTTATCAAGGGCTTGCTTGTTGCCAGGATCTAAAAGGAAGGTGCCATAATCAAAATTACTTCGGACCACAGCATTGTATAAAAGCTTTTGCGAATAGGGGTGTGCTCCCCACCTCACACCAGATAATGAACGGAGAACATTAACACCCTTCTCACTTTTTTTAAAAACATGGTTAAAATGAGGAACACCGTTTAACTTTGAGTCTAAAATAAGGCCTAAAAATTTTACTTGCTTACAACACGATACCAAGGACCCTTTATATGAAATGTTACACCGTGGAACCTTGTATTTTGTAGTAAACGTGACCGCCGAACATTTGGGCACAGAAATAGAGAGACCATGATCATTTAACCAATCACCCAAATAATCCAAAGCTGAATTTAGGCGTGATGATGCCTCTTCAATAGAATTTGATGAAAAGTATAAGGCTACATCGTCCGCGTATTGAAGAATCTGACAGAAGGAATTCACAACAAGCTCCAGGTCATAGGTGTAAATGTTGTACAGAAGAGGACTCAAAACAGAACCTTGAGGTAAGCCCCTCCAAATAGATCTAGGAGACAGCTCCGTATTTTGAGATCTTATAATAATATAACGATTCGAAACTGCATTGCAAACAAAACGTACCAACTTCTCAGGAATACTCAGCTGAAGCATTTTTTGCCTGAGCACCGGAACCAGCACGTGGTCATACGCAGATGCGATATCCAAGAAAACACCCACCAGGAACTGTTTCTTTTTAAACTCCTCTTCCCCTCCGGCGCCGTACAGTTTGGACGTGTTTTTAGTGAAAGTGCAGTTTAAATAATATTTATTTTCAAAATTTAAATAAATTTGGTATCAAAAATTATATTACGCTACCCGGCACGCATGAAGCGCGAGAAGCATTAGATTCACTGTGTGTCTCCATCAATTGCTGTGATCCTGGTACCGTGCCTCCATCAGACAACCGTAGGCCCTCACGGTCGCTGGCCCCTCCCATTTTACGTTGCACTGTCCCTCTGTGCGCATACGCAAATCATCTCACGCAATACTGGAAGGGCGGTCGCCAATCAGGACAAGGACACCTGTTGCTAAGACTTCTATCTGTTTCAACGGATATTGAACCTTAGCTTTGAGATCCGCAGTACAAAATGAAAAAATCTTCTCCGACACAAGGAAATGTTCAGTTGGAGCGCGATGCAGGTGATAGCTCAACACAGGAGAGCGATTACGTCAATACTAAATCGCGGCAAAAGCGAAGAGCTGCGCGCGACGAGAAGGACGAATTCCTCGTTCTAAAAAACGAAATTAGGGAGTGGCTGCGGTCGTTCCAACGTGACCAAAATTCCAGGCTCGACAAATTGCAAGAACAACAGAACAGCCGGCTGGATGCCATGGAAGGTCGTATTGCCGAACTTTCCGCAAAATTGACAACAGCCAATAACACTAGCCAGGACATCGGAAAGTCAGTAGATTTTGTTTCCGAAAAGATCTTTGAGCTACAAGAAAAAATTGTCAGTTT